GACGACTTACGTAGGGTTTAGGGGGTAAGGTAGTAGTACACTATTAGGTAGTGGGTGTAGTAGTTAGTTAGTACGTAACGGAACGTACTGAATAGAGAGAGAGAGAGAGAGAGAGAGAGGGGATCAGAAATTAAAATTCCTACCGCATCCTTATGCCTAGTTAGATATCAAAGTGAGCCCATGTTGCAGTCTTAAGTGTTATGTTCTTATACCAACATCCATATTAAAATGAGAATACATGAGATATGATTGGTCTTTCAAATACAACATATCTGATAAATATAAAGTACGGTAAATATGACAAATGTAAAGTATGGTAAACAAGAGTGGAATCAGTCAAACTCTCCATTGATGACAAAAGAAGCCATCCATATTGGTGAACTAAATTTTACTCTTGCACGAGTGCCCATGGCATGCTAATGTGGGAGCGGATTGCGTACTTACTGCCTCGGATGGAAGACCGATTTAGGAGGTTTCATTTAGTCTGAAATTTTCGTATCCACCTTATAATCACCAAATGACTATTTTAGAGAAAGGAAAATGTATTTTGAGAATGTACCATTTTGATTTGGCCATCCAAAAGTCAAACAATTTTTATTCGATTTTAAGATGTTACTTTCTTAAGGTGCTTAAAGAATGTGGATGAAGGAAACGTTCTTGTAGGGTTGAGAATGGTTCGGATACACTGGGATCCGGATTCGGACCCAAAAAGTATACATGGATATGGATCTAGATCCAGATTTGATATATGTCAAAACATCTAAATTTGGATCCGGATCCAAATATTTTATATGAGATTTGGATCCAGATCGAGACCAGATGGGGTCCAAAAAAATAATTTTATATATTATTTCACAAAATCAAATCATGGTAAAGTTTACTTGCCATTTACGTTGGCACAATCGGTGGCTATGTCGAGGGCCGACTTCATCGACCCCACTACTGCAACTCGCTTTCCACGGACTAGCTCTACCGCATCCGAGTCTTCCAAGGCTGAGTAGTCCGTGGCATGCATAACCTTTTCTCCGAAACTTCAGATCATTTTCTCGGTTCAAATCGGGGTAATTTGGGCAGATCTCCGAATCGGCCCACACGTAAGACTGCAAACTCTACCTGATACACCTGTTTCACCAACACTGCAACTGAGAGCTACAATCATGTGAAGAAACAACAATCACCGAATCACCCCCATAATTGGAATTACCGAATTACGCCAAAATCTTAAAAAGTATTCTCAGTTTACCAAAAAGATGCGGTTAGAATGTGGCCAGCCCGCATATTGTAGAAATGTGGGCTTGGCAATAAATATATTTTTTAAATATAATTTGATCTTAATTTTTAAAAAATATATAATGTTTAACATGAAGATCATGAATATGAAATAAAGAAAAAAATTTGAAAACTAGAAATAATAATTATATCAAAAAAAATTTGAACCGTTAGTTACAATTGTTTTTAGATGGACCACATCTTTGCATACATTGTTAAGATGGATGCTTCATACCTCTGGACCGCATATTGTAGAAAAACGGTCCAGCCCGCATGAAACGATTGTTCTTGCCAAAATGGCCATATCCAGCAAAAGGAAATTTGTTACACCTTCTCGAGTGAGTGTTTATATGATCGACAACTATAGAAAATCCCTGCCGTCCATCATATGTAATGCACCGTGTATGTCATGTTGGCGTACCATGTTTGTCATACTCCCTAATACACTCACGTTTTAGGTTGTGATTGCATTCCAAGTATTAGTATTAGTAGTAAAGTCTACCATGCAACAATGGAGTACAGTCTCAGGTGCAGAAAAAGGTTAATCATCGCCCATTTCCACTGAAGGATGGTTGTGATTAACTATATTGAGGTGAATGTGACAATGGGCTCGAATCTCCACCATCCATTGAGAGTGAATGGTGAATGTCAGATACCTTTGATCAAACTCCTTTAGTGTATGATATAATTTCCTTTGTTAGAATTAGGTTTTTTTTTTTTTTTTTGATGTGGGGGGTAATTAAGTGGAAGACAGGCCTGCCTGTTTTTTCAATAGGTTAGGGAGTTACATTAACGTTGGTATGCACTACAGATCTACCACAGCTGTAATTAAAAAAAAAAAAAAAAAAACAAAAGAGAAAATGGGTATGGGTGTAAACAAATGAGATTTTTATTCGTAATATAAAACAAGTAAGGGACATTTTTTGATAATTTCCCAATTATACATAAAATTCATAACTAAATTATGAAAAGACAAAGTTATGCTCATGTCCACTTAAATTACCATTATCTTTACTTCTTTTTTTTTTTTTATCTCAAAATACCCAACTTCATACCAATGATTTCAAAATGACGACTGTGAATGGAAATGAACGTAGGAAGTCAAGAATTTACTTGTAACTTTGACATTAAGGTCCCCAGTGGGGGCACTAAAAAAAACACAGAAAAGTAAGGTACGAGCATTAAATACAAGAAATTGGGAAATTATTGTAAATACTGATATTCAGGGGGGTACGATTGTAAATTTCCCTTAATAAAAAGGCCCATTACTGAGAAAAAAAAAAAGACTACAAAACCCACTAAAATTACGAAAATACCCCGTACCTGGCATGATCCAAGATTCAGGTCCTGGACATTGACATCCCATGATCCTTGTGATCCAAAAGCCTCCCCAAAGACTCCACAACATCAGATCCTCCTCTCTCACCCCAACATACTCTAACTCCTTGAACTTCCCCTTCTCTATGACCCCAAAATGCCCACCACATGATTCTAAATACTCCAACACCTGGTTATGGTCTGGGAAAATCTCTTTCACACTCTCAGGCCATGGAAAATCAGCAAATTGGTATGTGTATTTATGTGACTGCAACTTTGTGGATTCGGGGGTGCCAGTCCACACTCCCCCAACATTGTTTTTGGCTTAAAAAACTACTGAATCAAAGCCTCTTTCCATGAGATATTTGCAAGCTAAGAGCCCACTGATGCCTGCTCCTACAATGGCCAACCTCTTCTCCATCTTTGGATCTTGGAACTGAGTTGGTCCTCTCTGCTGCACTTAAATCCTCTGTTATCTCCTTGTCTAATGAGGACCACTGAAGGTCAATTATAGTCGGGTAGTGGGGTATCCATAAAAAAATCCCCCCCCCCCCCAAAACCATGGTATCTTGCTTTAAGTTAAGTGCCTTTACTTATTAATGCTTAATGGGTGCAGCTGCATGCATCCGTAGTCGTAGAGGTAAGGTGCACCTTCAAATTTTATCATGGTATATAAGTTTGATGTAAAGTATTTTTAGGATTATCTCAAAATCTATTTTTATATCTAATTATAAAATTTTAAATTTAAAAAATGGTTAACATCAAGTAGATCTATAAACAATATGAAAATCTTGAAAATAGACGGTGTAGATAATATGTTGTAAAATGCACTATTTTTGAGACTTAAAATCTTTTTATTTTTCATGGTCGTACATCTCGATGTCGAGATGATCAATCAAAGGGTTTTCAACATTAAAAATACCTTTTCCGATGGATTTTTGAAGTGTATCCGTAGTTCTACATTATAAGGTTGCATCCCTTTATAAACTTTTTCCATACTTAATTGAACTTTAGGGCTATTTTTGCCAATAATACAACTCCTCTGTTTTAAAAGGACTAGGTTTCTATGTAGAAATGAGTCACCACTTAAAAATCTATTTTTGAGATGGAGGTTTGGACCTGATTTTTAAGGACATGTAATCTCTAACATGGAAACCATGCATATGACAAAAGAAATAATTTTTGAGAATTAGAAATAATAATTTTACTAATAAAACATTTGGACCATTAGTTTCAATTGTTTTTAGTTGGACCACCTATTTGCATCCATCTTTAAGATGGATGCTTTATAAGGGGACTGCAAATGTAGAAATTCGGTTCTGTTGCATGAAATAAGTTTTCATTTAAAAAAATTATAATAAATTTATTTTAAATTAAAAAAATAAAAATGATCTTACATCTCATTAGCACTCTACCAAATTAGAAAGATCATAGACTCCCTCCGGTAAAAACCTTACTATTTATAGGACCCTAAATTTCAAAGATATAACATCTTCGACCTAAAAGATCATGGATGAAAAAGAAAATAGCAATGCATATTTTATGTGCTTGAAGAGAGTAACATCCTAAGATTGAATGCATGCCGTCCAATTTTTGGATGATCGTATATGTTTGGGAACTCACTAGAAAATAATCTCTTTTTTTTTTAAAAGAAATTATAATACTCATCTAGTGCTTTTAAAGTGGAAACCCAAAATTTTAAATTGATACCTTACGTAAAAGCATATGGGATTTTTTAAGTATAAAGGCCCCCTTATATTTTAATTTTTTATTTGGCCTTTCCAAGATCCAGATATAACTAGTCAAAAAATAGCAAAGTTACTGATTGGGCCTTAAGCATTTTCTCGATCCAAGCATTGTGAACCTGATCAAACCCTAAAAGTAAATGAATTAAAAGAACTTTTTTAAAAGAAAATGCATTGGACTGAAAATGCATTGGAGTTAAGCTTGCTCATGGAGTACATAGGAAAAATCCCTTCGGGAATGATCAATAGAGAGAGAGGGTAGAGAGAGAAATTCAATCCACTTAGAAAGAGAGAGAGAGCTTGAGAAGAAGTCATTAGAGCTTCTGGGTTCATTCAAGTTCTAGAGAGAAAGTTTGAGAAGCCATTAAAGCCTCTGAGTTTTAAGTTTCAAAGAGAAAAACATAGGGAAAAAGTTATCTCCATTATCATCTTCCACTTGGGTTGCAAGTTGCACCCCTTTTTGTCTAGGGTTTCTTTCTCTATAGAACCTTTGGGATATTTTTGGATCTTTGGATCCATTAATGGGATTTTTCTCTAGGGTTTGTTGAAGCCATGGATGAGGAAAAGAGAAAGAAATCTAGGGTTTGGAGTACAGCAGAATATCAATGCAGATTTGATTTATTCTATGGAGAAGCTCCAAAAAGTTCAGGATAAATTGGAGAAAGCATTCTTCTCTTTTATTTTCTCCACACTTCTATTTTTCCCAATCTAGGAAGTTCACCCTCTCCAGAAAATTGGTTTTGCTTTTTTGTCTCTCTCAGGAAACTCAAGAATCACCAACCCTTGAATTGGATTTGACCTAGAGAAGAATTTGCTACATATATATATTTTTTTTTTCTCTTAATTTTTATTGTTCTTTTTTTATGCACCATTGGTGAACATTAAAGTAATTGGGTTGTTGTTGTTGTTTTTTTTTTTTTTAATGTTATCAACTCTTTTTATGTAAGCCAAAAACAAGAAAACTAAAAAACAAGGGACCAAAAGCAAATAAAACAAAAAGCAAGGAGTTCAAGATAAAGGAAAAAATATATCTTTCCATCCATGTCCTCTCTCTCATCTAATGCCCTCTTGGTATACCCCATTTCTTACTCTAAACCCATTTCTTGTATTTCTACAGCCTCTCAAATTTCAAGTTTCATAATTTACACAATGATGATCCACAAGAAATGAAAGGCAAGCACTAAGTGAAAAAATATTTCAATTCAGTGTATGATGATGATGTGAGAGAGAGAGAGAGCATTGGAAGAGGACTTATTATGGTCGGAGTCTTTTTTTTTTTGGATAATTTAGTGGGGAAGACAGACCCCTACTCATTTTTTTCAATTAATTTAGGAATTAGTTTTTTTTTAAGGTGCTATTGACGTGGTGTAAGTGGGAATAGAAATCATATCGGTGACTAGGGTGTGGGGGAACATAGAGAGATAAATTTGCTAAATCCAACCATCTCTCATTTTGTTCTTATTGCTATTCTTTTGGAAATTTTCTGGAAAGACTCCTTATAACTTTTATTGGATATCTCTGTCTTAGTTCTCTCTCTTGCTCTTTGATGTCAAATTTTATATCAACATCTTTTAGTTAAATTCTTATGGCCAAGCTTTTTATGCTTCCCCTGCCTCTCACTTTCATTGATTCTTATTTGGTTCATTATTCTCACTTTCATTGATGAATCTTCATTGATTCTTATTTGGTTCATAGTTCTCGCTTTCATTGATGAATCTTCATCGATTCTTATTTGGTTCATACTTCTCACTTTCATTGATGAATCTCACGATGTGAAAAAACTAAGGCTCTAGAGATTAGGCCCACATTGAACATGAAGAAAAATGGGTTGGGTGAGTTTGACTATAAATGAAAAATCAAGGTAAAGTTCTAAAGAGTTTATACAAGGTCGCAAGGAAAAGTTGTAAAAGTCTATGATGTCTATGTTATTTGGATGATATAGATTTTGACACTAGCTTAAAAGATATGTCATTTTTTGTTGATATCTTAAAAGATGTGTCCCTTCTCTATCATTCCAATTAAAATGGATGTTGTAGAAGCCTTGATACCCTTCGCTATCATTCCAATTAAAATGGATGTTGTGGAGGCCTCAAGACCCATTCCTACCCTTACCGACTAGGGGTGGCAATCGGGTTGGGTTGATACGACAGCACCCTTACTAACTAGGGGTGGCAATCAGGTGGGGTTGATGAGACAACTTGGTCGGTTGATCTGATTCTAGGTTTGGGTTTAAGTTTTGGATCCAATGGGTTGGATCGGGGTCCAAATTTCCTGACTTTCATCGGGTCTGGGCCTAGGTTGACCTAACTTGAACATATGTATACACACACTTACATTTATTTAGGATCCACGTTGACCTGACCTAAACATATATATTCACACACACTTACATTTATTTTTATATAGGGATTATATACGAATAGACCATTTACTTTTAGTACTAGGAGGTCACATTATTTTTTGCCATTAGATATAACATTTAATAGATTAGAGTGTATCATAAAATTTGAAAAATGTTATTATGGACTTTGTTCCCAATCAATGACACAACCTCAAACACATAATTTCAAATCTAATAGTCAATGATGATTGTGACGTCTTTGTATTAAACGTAAATGGTATCATTGCTTTATATAGAGCCTAGGCTTTAAACAATCAAATTAGAACCTACCTTCAAATAATATCGAGAAATGTGGTTTCAATACTGGAATCTTTGTGATAGCATTAAAATATGTTCTTCATATTTATTTATAAAGTTTAAAGCTTCAAAAATATCGTAGATCGACAGATATATGAAAACTTGAAAATTGACGGCCCAAAAATGCGTTACAAAATACACTATTCTAAAACTTGAAATCCATTTTTTTCTCATCTTGATGTTGAGATGATCAATTTAAAGATATTTAAGCATCAAAACAACCTGTTCTAGTGAAATTTTTGAGATAGGCTCAAATTTGATTGTTAAGAGCCTCGGCTCTACATAAATGTTTCCCCATATATATATATATATATATATATATATATATATATATATATATATATAT